CACCAACCCACTCCACCCCACCCTATCCATTTAAAGAAAAAGGGACAGAGGCAAAGGAAATTTGTGAATATCCAGTTCCATAGCGAGAAACGGGTCAATTTTACCAATATTTTACATAAATAATAAGGAAAATAACTATTTTAAATCAAGATTGAAAGATCCGACTACAGTTTATAGATTTTCAACAATAATTATACTCCAAAATCAAAAAAAAAAAAAAAAAANAAAAAAAAAAAAAAAAAAAAATCCAATTGAAGCACAAAATGCGTGGAATGAGGCCTGCGTAAAATTAATTATCTCGTCGAAGATCTTGTTAGTGGAGAGTATACAGAGCCTCCGATTAGAGAGGGCAAAGAATAGAATTAAGCCTTTGTATGAGTTTTTTTATGGTATAGATTTTCAGTATCTTCTTCCTGGTTCTGTTGTGTGATTAGAGGAGAGAGAAGAGTTTTGTACGGTTGAGATGAGAGAGAGAAAGGGTAACGTGGGTGCGTAGGGTAGTTGATAAACTAGAATCTTTGAAAAGATTGAATTCCACGGAAAATAAAATCCTACCTCCCCAAAAGAAAATATATTCCTTGTTTTCAAGGAAAATATGGTCACGTGAAAATGGGAAAACATTTTCTATGGAAATAAATGTCATTCAAACAGTACAAAAGTAGGAATTTTGAAGGAAAACTGACATTTTCCATGGAAAATTTTGGCAATCAAACACACCCTAAATATGATCTTAAGGCGGTCCAATATTCAAAATTTAAGTCGAGTATCTCATTTTAAATGAGTCAAAATAAATATTACGTGACCTTTTACAAAAATAATTACACAGTATGTGACTTTAATTAAAAAGTAACAATTAATTAATACGTGCGAAATTTAGGAGGGTCCCACTTTGAACTAAAGCTGGTGAGTTTGAATTTGTGGAGCCATTTTTATACCGAAATATGTGCACGAGTGTGGCATGCCGCATTCACTTGAATTGTGAGTGGGGCAAATGCTTCTCAATTACAGCATTTTTATCTTTAATATTATTATTGAATTTAGTCATTGACCTTTTACCTTATTTTTCTAAATGCATATGATTATTGGGGTATTTGTCTAACTATTGCAAATGGTATGTACCTTATTACTGTGGTGACACTTTGAAATATACCCCATTGTTTAAAATATTTGAAATAATCAAGTATTTTATGAGAAAATGTAGCATTTTTCAATTAGGTTTGACTAATCAATAGCCGATAGACATGAATTAAATGCAACAGACAAAGGTAATCTCGAGTTAGATATAAATTTTCTCTTTGAAATGAATTCCCTTAAATTTCACATTCATTAACTTTCTCCTTTTTACTGGTTAGGTATCAATTTCTCATTACCCCCGACGACTTCATCGAAGATAACTTCTCATTTCTCATCGGCGATCGAAACACCTCTGGATAAAAGAGATTGTGTTTGCAGGTAATTAATTCGAATCATAGCCATTACATATTGAATTTTGCTTACTTTCATAAAAACTTCAATTCGAACTGAAATCAAGCTTTAATGTTTTATTAAATTATGGTTCCAAAAAGTTCGCCCGAGTGCAAAAATTTACAAATGTGTCTTGCTAACATATCCTTTTTTGCCTGTGAACGCCATGGTCGAACATGACTCGAAATTTGGCATATGAGCCATGGGCTAACCTACAAGCCCTTCTACAAATTTGTATCGGTCGATAACTCGAGTTAAAATTTAATTCTTTTATTTTTAGAGAAACTAAATTTTAAAATGAAAAAAAAAAATTGTACATCTCGTTGGTTGCCTAGGCTTGATTTGCCTCGATCCATTCGGCCCTCTAGCATAACAGGCGAGATGAGTCCATTTTTTCTTCATTTGCCATGCCAAGCTTATGTCACTGTCTGAGTCAAGCTGACTTGGTCGATTGCCACCCCTAGGAGCTATTGAGACTTTGATCTGATCTGAGTTGATCAAGGGGCGACAAAAGGGTTGAATAGCTCGCTAACTTGACTCATCTCGAACCATGGGAGGCTCAGACTCATTTTGATATGAGTCATGGGTCAAACCAAGTTCACTTTTGTTATGAGTCCAACCGATTCATTTAGGCTCGTTTTTTATTTCATATTTTTGACATGTTTCATTAATTTCTTAAAAAAATGTTCCTTTCTAATCTTATTTGATTAAGTTATTTAGAAAAAAGAGTCGACTCATGGATGACTTGACTCGATTAGGTTTGTGGACAACTCGGCTAGTGAAGGTCACGAGCCGTTCATAATATTTGAACATGACCAAGTGTGACTCGATTGGAATGTCTACCGGTCGGGCCGACTCGGTCCATTACCATCCTAATCCGGTCTATTAACACTCGTATGCAGAACCAAGAATAATTGGATTCATTTCCAAATTACAAGGTCCATTTTTACGTTCTTATCCAATTATATTCCCGTTTAACAAGGATGACAATTGGACGGGATGGAATTAAAAATTTTCATTTACTATTCCCTTTAACCATTTTATTTACTTTAATATATTGTCATATTTTTTAAATAAACTTTAAATAGTCAAATATAAAATTATTAAAAAAAAATAAATTCTTGGTGGGTTTAGAAATTAATGGACGGGATCATATCCCTAGGCTCCGTCCCGTTTACTATTCAAGGCGGGCAATCCCAACCACTACGGAACGGGACAATATGGGGCAGTTTTTGAGACTGAAATTTTTTCCGTCCTATGTTTATGTCCATTTTTTCTAGAAAGTCATACAAAACGAGTAAATATTTTCTTTAGAGTTATAATCCATGAGTAATATATTACCAGAATTATTTTCTCTGAGTAAAGAAAAAAACGAACAGAAAGAAGGAAAGTCGACAAAAATGAGGAAAAAAATGAGAAATTTTTTTTGCTTCATATATTCTTCTTTGTTTGTTTGTGGGGAAGAAATTCTTTCTTAAAAAATAATCGAGAGAAAATTCGAGAAGAATGTAAAAACATTTTTTTTTTCTTTCTTGGGTTATTAAATTCTTTGAGATTATAAGTTGTTTCCAATTTTATGAGTTTTTTTTAAAATCAAAGTTTGAGTCTTTGTTAGATTTAAAGCCCTTAATTCAATTATTTTCTAATAATTCATTAACAATATTTTCTTGGAGTTTTAGACTTCGAACAAATTTAGGACTCTCTCTCTCTCTATATATCATAAAAATATTATTTGTGGTGTATTCAATAATGAAAGACGTATAAATAAATAATATATATGTGGGTGTAACGAATAAAAAAGTTTGAGAATATGGTGTAACGAATAAAAATAACCCATTCAAATTCCTTCATTATCATCCTAATATCCTAATCATTAAAACTTCCCATACATAATTATAGTAAAATGAACGGTTATCCAATATTTTTAAGGTTATCTGCACATGCAAACTCTCTTTCTCACACTTGGTACGTCTGTCTATTTACATTTCTTTGATCTGGGGTCATATAATTTTGCCACTGTACCGTCATTATTTGGTAAGATCTTTGAGTGCTATTTTCCTTGTAGAGAATAGGGACTGCTATTTTCATAATAATTTAAAAACTTTCCTGCTTTCATATAGTATAGAGAGAAGGGTAGATGGAGTATAAAGATTGAATTTTTCTTGGTTTCGTGGAAACGAAGGACAATGCCGATGTTGAAATTTCAAGATGGGTTATTACCAAAAAGGATAAAAAGGAAACCTCGACATGGGTTTTGTGTAGGGTTAGTTTGGGTCATTTTCCATTCTTTTTGATATGCCCTTTTTGGGTTTCTTGAAGAACTGCCCCCACAAATCTTACCGAGTCAGAGAAAAAGGCAGTGTATAAATGAGTGAACCTCTGGATCTTGTCAATGCGTACAATATTTTATTGGGCGTCTTCGTATCATTACTACTATTTACATGCTATCTTCCCTATGTCAGCCAAAGATTACATAGGCCGTATAGACCTGCAGTAAATCCTGTTCATTCATACACAAACCATAATGTTTACTATTTAGGCGACATTTATCTATTTAAAAGTTTAGTTTTCAACGACCCTTTTAACACAATCTTTGTATGTACTGGTAAAATGCTGAATGACATTGTTTGAAGAATTGAACTGTGAAAAAGAGAACAAGTCAACATATGAACGAAGGCTTGATAAGGGTTTCTAGTGCTTACATAAGTGTGATGAGGGTTTTTTCTGTTGCATCTTTTGGTAATGTGAAAGAATTCATGGCTATGACCGTCTATGTTGTACTATGTGCTTTTCTTGGGCTTTGGGGATTTGCTAACCGGTAGTTATTTCATAATTCAAATGGGGTGGTGCTCCGTTTTGCATTCATAATTTCACAACAAAAAAAGTGCTCTGCTCCATTGTCCTTTCAGTGCCCATGACTGGTGATTATCATTCTCTGTTCATACTGTGTTTTATGTGCTTTTATCCCTTCAATTTATGTTTTTTCCCGCCGTTATATCTCCGTGTTCAAAGTTTTGGTTTTTCGACTTTATTTTGCTTCCAAGCTTTCTGGATTCTTTACTTTTTGGCACGTATGTTTGATGGGGTTTTGTCTCTTTTTTTGATCTCCCCTTTGCATGCCACAGTTTTTACCCCCAAGAATGTGAGTTCCTACTTTAGCCAACTGTTCTTGAATCACTCCTCTTTGTACTTGGTATCCCTTTTTTTTGATGATTTTATAATCAAACATTCATATTATGTTCATCTTCTGCTCTACAAGTTCCACAACTCTTACAATCTGACAACTGGCAAGTGTGACTCATGGTACATTTTGCTTGAATACCAGCACGTACAGTCCTATACTTCTCAATATTAAAAAAGAAATTGAAATCTTGTCGATTGTTACGCACGAGCAACAAATTTTATTCTATTTATTCTGGTGTTTCTTGATGATTACATGGAACAATGTATGAATTCTATGCAATTCTGTATGAATTCTATGCAATTCTTTTCTTGATCTGCAATGTAGGCAGAAAAGCAAGAGGTAGTGGATGATAATGGTGGAGAAGGGAATGGCAGCAGAGAGTTCAAATCCATATCCACCTCCTCTAGCAGCATATCAAGAGGTTGCCAGCTCCCGTGAACTGTTCTTGGATACTTTAAAGAAACTTCATGTTGCCATGGGAACCAAATTCATGTAAGCTACTTTATCTAGCAATTTATTTTCCACACAGTATAAAGAGGTTGTTCTTTTTATGTTTTGTAAATGTTGTATAGTCTTCATGTCTAATATGATGTACATTAGTTCAGAAACTTTAACCGGTAGATGCTGCGAAATTAGGAAAACTTGAACCAAGATATCACTATGTGTAAAATGGGGTAACACACTTCTATGAAGGGACAGGTTAACCATTTTATGAAAGTTTAAGACAAATTCCAAGTAGATACTTGTAGAACTTGTTACACCAGGAATATTGAAACAATCACATGACAAATTAAGGGTTCCCCAGAAGCTGACATGGCATAGAGGAAAGGCATTCAGAAGCTGTCCAGAGGAATCCATTGGCAGGAGGGTCCAGTAGGGTGCCCCCTACTTGATTTTTCTATTTTATTGGCTGCATGATTTAACCCAGAAATAGATCAGCCTATAGCCATAGACTTAAGAGAATAGAATTAGAAAGGAAAACTATATGAAAAATTGATTGGATTGGGTCAAGAATCTTGCGTCCTGTCGGGTGACGAACAAGGAGCAAATTTAGAGAAAACTGGAAGGGATAACAAAAGCACTGCCTACTCCTGAAGAAAGGGCAGTCCACATGATATCCATAGCAGAGTTTGGCTCACTGGGAATTGAAATACACACAGGACTTGGGGAGAAAGGGATAAAATGGAAAGGAAGCAGTTGACTTGGAAGGTTTGGTCTCTGTCACATTTGGGTACTAATAATGGTAAGGAAAAGGAGAGTATTAAATCCCGTTCTTTGGGCCTCTACCAAATTCAGGGTTTGGACACTACAATTAAAATCCACAAATCTACTACTGTTGCATTTGGAGATGTGGGAGAGATAAAAATTAAAAATCGTCTTATCAACCATTCTAGAAATCCAAATTTAGTTGAACTCACCAAAATACTGATTTACAAGGAGAGAGTATTCAAGTAGTTATAACTTAACATTTAAGTCTAAACTTAGCGATGAAAGATGTAATTAGAATCATTATAATGATATTCCATTCGTCATATCAATGATAGTGATTATATTTTGATTATAATCTTCATTACAATTAGAATATGTTAATATATAATGATACTTTTCTGATGAGGCTTATTAGCATTAGTCTATCTTCTTATCTGCTATATTTTGTGTTAAATGGGACTTTATTATGCAACAAAGGTGTTTACTTTGTTTTCCGAGCTAAGTGTCTTAAAAGGCAAAACCAAAAAAAGCAAAGTCCACCCTGCTTTAATATTTCTTTTCTTTTTACTGGGTTTCAATTTCATCATTTGAACTTTCTTCAGCAAAATTTCTAAAGCATATTATATATGCCTAGTATTTAAGTAGCTTCCTCAATTCTTGATCCTGTATCTCCTTATCTCAGCATTGAATGAATGATAGTTAAGTTGTATGCATTAAAAAAATATATTTGCTAAATGAATTCATGCCTGATGCCCCCACTGTACCAGAGTCTTTTTTCCTGGATATAGGTTCGACTTCTAGAAGTCCTTCTTGGTTGTTAACACAAAATAAACAGGCAAGCTTTGTGTAGGAATACTGAGCACGAGACTAGAAACGGGCTACTGAATAAAACATATTCCCCACAGTGTGATACGACTTGACACATGAGATGTGATGCTAAATAGAAGTTTTCCTAAATGCAGTCTCTGTGGAACAATTTGCTAAGGTGATTGAGTGCATCCGTGGAACGAAATGCATTCAATCAGCCTATACAAAGAATACATGTTTCTCGCCATTATTCCATACAATCAAGTGGACTGTTGACCTAGTTAGGAATTAGAACGCTACTAATTTCGCTAGGATAAGTGGGATGCAAAATAAATTTAAATTGAGAAGACGTAAGAATTTAACGTGGTTTGACAATCATGCTTATGTCCATAGACCCACATCAATTGCTTCACTAAGAAAGAGGAATACAAAATAAATGCATTCTGTAACTTTTGTGCCTATGCAGAGGCTTCAGACTATTTTATCTCGTTTAACCTTCTGCAGTCTCACTAAAGTTTTCTAACTCTGTGCACTTCACACTTGCTTTCCCTTTGCATTCTCTTTATAAAGAATGCTAAAGAGACATAAATCAACCAAATCAGTTATGTGAAATCTGCTCTATTGACAATGACAAGCATGCACAAATACATGTACACACACTACTTACATTTAATGCCTTGAGAGACTTGCACATAATGATGCATTTCACCAATCTTGCAAGAAACCATGTACAGCTTCTTCACATGTAAAGCCATAATCGGTCTCCATTATTAAACACACCTATTATAAATGAATATTTCAAAATTACAGTAGTCTTTTACGTAACTCTCCCCAGATATTTCTGCCAATCCTTGAAAGGGATTTTCTTGATTTTTTTGACTTGCAATATATCATTGGCAAATAAAGTATATTGATGGTTGGTGTTTGCTTCTCAATTATTTATATTTCAGCACTTCAATGTGTATAGAACTCACCAATTTTCAATCACAAAATACACAATATTTTTATATGTTTTATCTTCTAGAGAATCACATTTTATTGAGGAGAGCATGATGTAGAAGAAAAACGTTTTTCTTCTTTTTGGCATAGTTTCTCTTGAAGCTTCTGTTTTGTTACTAAAATCGTGTAATATATTGCTGCACTTCTTCATATTCTTATTTTAAGGGAAGCCCTTATTTGTCTATCTAAATTTGTTTGTTAATGCTTCAGGATCCCCATTGTGGGGGGCAAGGACTTAGATTTGCATCGCCTCTTTGTGGAAGTTACTTCTCGTGGTGGTATTACAAAGGTTAGAATGATTTTAATTTTATTTCACGTTGACTTATCAGTCGATGTTTATGAACTCCCTCTACAATTCCTATAATTTGTCATGAAGGTACATCTAAAAGGCTTTGTGGCTTAGACATATAATGGTTAGCCGGCCAGCGCAAGAATTGCTACAGTTTAAATTTGTTTACTTTTGTAAAGCATTGCAGGTCGTTAAATTGAATATCTCAATTTGAATCCTTAATTATGTTAATTATGTAAATATATCCAAAAACATTAGCCAAACGTTGTCCATATAGGTTCCTTAAAAACTGGAAATTGCACCAAACAAATTTGAATTGTAAGAGAAAATTCAGAATTTCTAATTTTCATTGGCTCCATGCCTCTGATGGCTTTCAATATTCTTTGCCATGAGCAATATGCATTTATGAACCTCAAGTGAAACATTGTTACGTTTGGTGTCGTATCGGCGAGGGAGCACATGATACAATCATCAGTTACTGTAAAGTGAGTCACTTGCTAAAGGGATTTTAGTTTTCATAATATATTTTATATAAAGCCCAACTCTTGTTCTGAGCACCTACTGAAACAAAAAGAAAAGAAACGGAAGAAATCAATCCAGGCAGTGATTTTATCATTATTTTCGTGGGTTAAGGATCAAGTTAAACTTGGTCTCATGTTTCAATTCTTAACTTTTAAACTTATTGCATTCAGATTTCTTCTTTTTGGCTAAACTTGATGTTTCATGTCCTTGTGCTTATGGTTGATTACATGCAAAATCTTTACAGGCCTTGCCTACATAATTGTTTTTGTTTACTAGAAGTGAAGTTTCTCATAGCCTATTTTTTGTTTGGAAAAACATATCTAGAATCTCCTATGCAAACTCATAGTTAAACGTCTGTCCATCAGTGAAGGAGCCTTTTGCGTATAGATTTGGACCATTTGGTTGTTCAATTGAAAGGTGACTCTATACCATGTTGTTGGAAAAGTTTTTTTGGGGGAGGCTCTACGTAAAATACATTGGTAATTTTGTAAAGGTACAAAGGTTTTGCAAAGAGTTTATCAGATTACAACTGGATTGTGATTACCATACTATAATCTAAGGCAACTCGCCTAGAACTTTGCTTGCATTGAAGTATAAAAAAAGCTGAAAAAGAAAAAAATAAAGAGAGAAAAACAAAGAAAATGCTTCCCCTAATTCTATCCTACAGTGAAGTTTGAAGTTCATGATAAAGCTGGTACAAGTGAATTCTAAAACACACTTGATGATAGGTGAAATAGGACAGGAACTAGAATTGTAGAGGAAGAGAGGATACGAGAAGAAGAGGGGGGGAAGATAGAAGGAAGGGGTGAAGAATTAGGAAGAAGGGGGAGAGAGTGAAAGGAAGGAAAGATGCCGAGAGAAAAAAAAAATTGTAGAGAGGAAATTCTTTTTTTATTTAATAATCTAGTTTTTCCAAGACAATGTGAAACGACTCATACTAAAAATCCATAGATAGTCTTCTAATAATATCCCAAGGATATCCATCAATACTTCACAACAGATTTCACTTGACTTCCAATGGATTTTGAAGTACCTCATCTAATGGCTAATCCTGTTTTGTTTCATTGCCTACTGGACTTCAGCAATATCTGTTTTCTTGTTTTCTAGATCACATTTTTTATTCTCTTCTATTGTTTAAATTTTTCTTATTGAAGCATGAATCCAATCAGTTGTATATTGAGTGCATGTTTGGTTTGCAATATTCAACAAATTTGGGCAATATAATGAACAAGAACTTCTTTTTCTTCTTAATACTGTCCATTGCCATCGAATCCTCCCAACTAAACATGCATAAACGTCTTAAAAGTGTATGGTACATCGCTGCGATGGTTACTCTCTGGTTCAACAAACTTGAATATTTTCCACTGAAGTTGATGTTTGATATGAACTACAGGTTGTCAGGGATAGAAAATGGAAAGAAGTTACTGCTGTTTTCAGCTTTCCTTCTTCAGCAACAAATGCTTCTTTTATACTTCGCAAATACTATAGTTCATTGCTTTACCACTACGAACAAATTTACTTCTTTAAGGCTGAGTGCTGGACTCCTTTGTCTACCGGTGAGTTTAAATGCTTTAAAATCTTCACTTTCATTTTTTATGCCTTTTTTAATTGTGGAGCAAAATCTTCTGCTGATGCTTCGCAAAACGTGTCTACATTTACTGCTCCACCTCATGGATTGGCTGAAGGTGTCCTACAACCACAAAACAAACAAGCTTCACCTCTACAGATTATAAATACTGAGACGTCTTTGTCTACTGGTGAGAGTTTAAATGCTGTTTAAATGCTTTAAAATCTTCACTTTCATTTTAGAGCTTTTTTTAATTATGGAACAAAATCTTCTGCAGATGCTTTTCCAAATGTGTCCCCAATTACTGCTACACCTCATGGATTGGCTGAAAGCATCCTACCTCCACAAAAACAAGATGCTTCACCTCAACAGATTATAAATACTTCTATGTCTTTCCCTGAAGGTAGTCTTCTTCTCCTCCTCTTCCTTCATTTCTTATCTTCTTTTTCTTTTTCGAATTTTTGCTTATGTTATTAAATTTGTAAATTTTCTCCGCACAGAGTGCACCATTGACAATCACGTGTGAGACTCTGTTGTGGAAGAATAACGCTTCCCCTTTATTTTAACTAATTAATTTATTTTAATCACTGTTTTTTTAGTTAATTAAAAGGTGGTTCAAATCAAATGAATTACTTGAAACACAATTAAAAAGTAAAAGGAAGTTTTCTTGTTAGAAGAAACTGAAACAAACTTTTTATTTGTGAGAATCCCTAGCCTAGCCAAATAATCTTGTGCTTTCTCTGACCGCTATAAGTCTCATAGTCTTGACTTGATATGCTAGAAGACTTAAAACTAATATTTATTTCTTGCTTGCTTGAAAAGGTTAAAGTTACCTAATCCTTTAGAAACTCGATCATTTACTGTCCAATATGGCAAATCAATTTATTTAATGTGGACATCATTATTTCCCCTTTACCTACCATACGTGTTGAAGGGGCGGGAGGCGGTAACACAATTCTTAACTGCAGTGACACTGCGCAACAGGTGTTGCAGTCTAAGAACTTTTATCTTAGATTGGTCAATGGATTGTTTTCCTGAAAAATGATTTGCTTTGTGATAATTGAATTTAACCTGTGAAGTGGAGCAAAATCATAAGAAAGTTTAAAAATAGTTTCTAATTAGTTTGGTTGTTTTGAATCTAGATGTATCAGTTCACTTAGCCTTAAAGACGTGGTCTTTTGAAAAGGTGCGAACTAGGTGCGTTTTCAAAACGCCCCGCATATGCAAAAGACGTGGGAAAATGTGGTCAACTCCTCTTTTGACCACCTAAGGCGAGCCCAGGCGCCAAAAGGCATGCCCCTTTATTTAAAAAAAAAAAATCTATTTTTGGAGCCATTTCTTGGACCTAATGGCTAATGTAGGCCTAGAGACCTAAATTAGTGTGGACAATTGCTTAGACCCATTTGCCTCAAAAGGTCTCGTGCTTTTATTTTTCAATCGTCTAGTTTTGGAAAGTTGAAAATTTTCTATTGCAGTAATAATTAAGTAATTATAGATTTTATGATTTAGTTGTTTGGCATGCATTATTTTATTTAATGGTCTTGGAATAATTAAAATACTATAGAAAATAATAAAATACCTTTCTCCTAGACATGCCTAGGCTCGTAAGGCTTGAAGTTTGACCTTGCTGCGCTGTTATGAGGTCTTTTAAAACACTGCTTTTGGCACGAATTAGGTTTTGAGTATTGCTATGCCATCAATAAGTTGCTTCTACCACTGTTTCAGAATACTTGATTTTGCTTTGTTAAGCACGACAATATCCTCTAGCTGCTTTAAGGTATAATCTTCAACATAAACCAATTCTAATGAAAAAGAAATAACAATTAGTATTATAATAACTTTAAAAATCTAAAAAAATCCGAAATATAATATTATAATTGAATTAACAGTCTAATTTGCCACTAGAAATGTGAAATAGATTAATAAGATAGAGAATGATGAAGTAGAGGTCAGCAGTTCACATAAAAGACCACACATCTACAACTGGAACCGAAAGTCTTAAATAGCTGAGTATTCGCTTGTGAGAGATTTTTTCAAGTTAATCATTGTTTTGGAGAACTAGAGTTTCACGGTCTACCTTATTGACCATTCTTATGAGGATTTGGATCAGTTAGAGGGTTATGAGAGAGATGAGGTTGTCGTCTCCATTATGAGATGCATCCTCTCCGGCCGTGTTGACACTAATTCTACTTGGAAACCTATAACATACTAACTTAAGAGTGAACATAAAATCTAACATCCTTAATAAACAAAAATCCAACTCCAAAAAGAATTAAGAATGCTAGTCCAATAACACAGATATGCTTTGCTCCTTAGTCAATAACAGAGTACTATATTATCTCGTCATTCGACTGAAGAGGATGAGTTTTTGTTGGCACTGTAACTAGTACTTCATTAGAAGTAACGTTTAATAATTTGAAATTATGTTTAGCAAAAGAGAAGCTTAATAATTAATTTTTACTTCTTTTTAAAAGCTTGTTAGCCGAACATGCTCTGAAGCTTTCCTAGTTAGCATAGGCACCTATAATTTATGCATGATTGTTCCTGCAAAAATAACAATTACAAGAACTTAACTTTTCAGTCTAGAAACTCCACTGAGGTTTAAATCTGGATCAGTAATTCTTAGCGTTTCCTTCGAACTCCTCCAATGTTGGAGAATATTGTTGAGAAGTGTATTTGCCTTAAGATTAGTTGGAGTAAATAATTTTTTTAGTACGATATGCGAACTATAGCTTAATTAAAAGAAGGGATTTCAGACTATTACATGGGACACGTAATTTCTATTTAGAAGTTTGAGATGAAATACATGGGTAGAATGTCTTCTGGGTTGTTTTCACAGAGTTTTGCAGAGATACAACCCAGAACTTTGTTCTATAGTTTGAACAACTATCGTGAAAGGGGACCATTTTAGTTTGAATTGATATCCTCACAATGGATTGGTACAAGATCAAATAAAATTGTGGAGTAAAAATAAATTTTGGCAGCCATAAGAAAATGAGATTTTTCCTTCTTTGTTTTCTATTTTCAATTCTGGAATTGTGGTATAATTGTAGGAAAATATAAATTTATATATTTTATTTTCGTTTTGATTCTTGCAGCACCTTTAGCACCATCGCCATTTATCCCAGTGTCTGGAGTGATTGATGGAAAGTTTGACGGTGGATATCTTGTAACTGTCAAAATCGGGTCAGAGAATTTGAAAGGCGTTCTTTATCAGGTTCCACAATCTGAAGCACAGGGAGTATCTCAACATCATAACATGCCAACCAATTATATGGGAAGCTCGTCGTCAAAACCAGGGGTGCATCGTCGAAACAAGAGGAAGAAAGCTGAAATAAAAAGACGGGATCCTGAACATCCGAGGCCAAATATAAGCGGGTACAACTTTTTCTTTGCTGAACAGCACCCCAGGCTGAAACCTCTTTATTCAGGAAGGGAAAAAGAAATCAGTAAGGTGATTGGTGAACTCTGGAACAATCTACAAGAGCCTGAAAAATCGGTAAGCTCCAACTCGTGCACAAAATGAGACTCAAGACTGTTTTTTCCTACTTTTTTTATGTTTTTGCATTGAAGTTCCATAAATATTTCGGCATGCAACAAATTGTGGTGTATTCAGGTTTATCAGGAGAAAGCACTTAGGGACAAGGAAAGATACAGATTAGAATTGGACGAATACAATAAAAGTCAGAGGACTGGACAATCCATCAACAATGCAGCGCCAATACAGCAGTTTCCTCCAATGCCGGATGCTGGCTTGATAGATCTTGACAAGAGTATTCAAATTGAAGGTGAATCCTCTGCTCAAATGGCAGGGAATGAAACAAGTTTCGACAAAAGTAACTTGGAAGGATCTCGAAAGGTGAACGAGGACTTTGAAATTGGGGCATCTTTCCGAGCTGAAATGGAGAATAAAAATGAGAACCTGGAGAATTCAAAGAACGAAGAAGCATCTGGGCTGCAGACGCAACAAGATGTGGTTGGATGCGAGGACAACAGTCCAGGACATGGACAAATTGTCAGCAATGCAGTTCCTGTACATCAGTTTCTTCCAATGGCGGATGCCGGCTTTATGGATCTTGACGTGACTGTTCAAACTGAAGGTAATACCTCTGCTTATGAAAAGAGTTCTGCCAATTGCAATTTGGAAGGTTATGAAAAGACGGATGAGGACTTGGTAATGGGGACAACTTTCCAACTTGAATTGGAGCTGGAAAATGAAAATGTTGAGATTTCACCGAATGGAGAAACAACTGCGTTGCAAATGGGACGAGGCACAGTTGGATGCGAGGCCAAAAATCCAGGACTTGGAGGAATGGAGGAAGAAGAAGATGATGTGTCAATCCCTGTGGGAGAAGGAGAAGTTGACCCCATTAACACCAGTGAATCAGTTGCCATCAACAAGGGCCATGAAAGCCCTTGATGACATGTTTAGCAAGATAGATTGGAGGGAAGGAACGAAGGTAAAATTTTTACAAATATATTATAGTCGCATTTCAGTACTGTAGCAAACATTCCCTAATAGGAACTTGTTTCTAGCGTATGTGTATTTTGTTTCTTGACATTGTTCGCAGACTGTCTTTGTTTATCTTATACTTTCTTAATAGAACTATGTATCGTATTGAAATGTGATGAATTTATTCTGCCCTTGTCGCTTTGGCACAAAATATGTGCTGTTACAAGAAATATTTACAAAATCATGATTAGTGATGATATTAACAAACCATACATTAAAAACTATGGTTTTGAGTGCTTAAAATATTTAATTTTGGCCTTTTCATTAGTAGTGAGTCAATGGATGCTATGTCACAGACAATTTCATTGCCTTTGATGAACAATAGCGACCATAAATATATATAGATATCCAGCCCTTCAAATCATTAATCAAGGGTGCTCCTGGTGTCTTTGCTTTATCATCGGTAAAGTTAGGTTGGACTATTGTGTTCGATCTAACTTAGGTTTGACATGATATGTTAGAAAAAATAGGTATGTTAGGATTGGATAGTATAGTGACGTAGGGTCTTGCAGTATTCGGAGTTTTGAAGGATTTTACTAGAAAACTAGTGTGGTTAACGTGCGTTGCATGTTAGTTGCACGCTGGTTGTTTAATGTTGAAAATAAATATNAAGTGTAATATTATTTTACTGAGAGAATGTGTGGTTAATAATAAGAGAGAAAAATAAATTAAAATTTAATGGGGGGCAAACATGGACATATAACTTTAAATTCATCCACTAATTTTTATTTTCATTAAATTATCGTAAATATTTTTTTTATTCTATTAGAATTTGTGTTTAACTAGAACTCTAATAGACTAGAGAAAATTACATAAATATGTTTAAAGTATTCCAATATTCAGAACTTCAATAGACAAAAAATTTAGTAAACAACGGAAGAGATGCCGTTAGAACAAATATATATAGACATGACAATATATGAAAAGGAATTTGAAAAATTAAGGATTACCTTTTTATCATGTTTTGTCTTTTGATTTTATTTTTTCCCTAACACATTAAGACATTTATGGGTTTTAGTGACGTTATTGTGACATCGTGCTTTAATTTGAGTGATCTGATTTTCTTTTCTTGGTTTTACGATTATCTTATTGGAATGATTGTATGAGTTTCTTTATTTACATTTATTTTGATATTATTTTTTTTGTCTTATTTTGATTGTTCAATAAAACTTTTAATAAACACCGTTAACATAATTAAGTGAATAATCAGTGTTCTAAAATTCTTAAAAACGCGGCGCGTAGGCGCGCCTAGGCGCGGCGCGCGAGAGGAACGCATCGCTTTTGTGGTATTCGCGTGAAAATGCGTTCAACGTTTTCTGTTGAACTCCGATGCGCGCCTATTCGCGCATATGCGCGACTATTCGTATCAATTCGAGAATAGGCGTGTTTAAATTAGATTAGTCGCGTTTATTCGCGAATGGGGCTCGCATTTGGAAACCCAGTGGACAATTGCAATTCTTCAATACCCAGGCCCAGCCCATTCTCAGAATACCCCCTACGACCCGACACGAGTTTAGTTTAGGCATTTAGCCTTTTTCTTTCCCAACTCCCAAGTCCCAAGTGAGAAGACTCAAGAACTCAGAAGCCAGAACTTCACTCCGTTCTCTGCTCACCCGTCACCTTCACGGCTTCACCACTCAATCGCTCACCAGTCACCTTCACGGCTTCACGTTCACCTTCACGGCTTCACCTTCACGGTTTCACCTTCACCAGTCTGAGTTCTGACTGGAGGAGTTCGGTTCACCTTCACAGCTTCACCTTCGGTTCGTGCCTCATTTCCTCCAAATTTCGCTTAAATTATATTTCTCTTTCGGATTGTAGTCATTTTTTTTCCGTTGTTCAGTGTGATTTTTTTCCTTGCATGTTCATGTTTCCGTTTTCATTTCTTATTTGAATTGTTTTATTTCTGCCTATTATTTGTTGGAGTGCTGTGAAAGTTGCGAAATTGAAAGCTTCATCCACTGTTTCTTTCCATTTTCTCCTTAATTTAGTGTAATGCAGTCGCTTAGTTCTTGTGATTTTGAGTTAATGGTGCTTAGTTCTTGTGATTTTGTGCATATCTCAGTTTTTGTGATTGTGTAGATGCCCATTGTTTTAATGGTAATTTGGCAATTTGGCAAGAACCCCAATTCGGCAAGGACGGCAATTTGGCAATTTGGCAAGAACCCCAATTTGATTTTCAGAGTCATTTTTGAAGAACCCCAATTTGGCAATTTCTGTGACTCCCTTTCCTGTTACATCTGCATAATTGTGATAGTTATAATTGTGAGGGTTATATAATAGCTTACATCTATTTTTGTAGGATGTAATGGAGCAAAATGATTCTTCATTGACCTCTAATTCTAGATTTGAAGATGGTGATTTGAAAAAAGGTTCTGGGGACATTGGATGGGATACAGGAATTCTTGTAGATCCTACCAAGCATAATAATGTGAAATGCACATTGTGTGGTAAAGTTACAAAGGCGGGAATCAATAGGCATAAAATTCACATAGCGGGAATTAAAGGAATGGGTGTGAGTCCATGTCCTAAAGCTAGCAAAGAGCAAAAGACCAAATGCCTTGAAGCAATTGAAGAGAATAAGTCTAAAAGGTTAGAGAAGGCATTGAATGAGGCTAAATTGAGGGATAATGTAGTTATGTCTTTAAGTACACGTGAGGAAGAAGAGGATGAAATTGCTATCATTGAAGGAGGGTCTAGGAAGAGGCCCATTCGTGTTGGTCCCATGGATAATTT